CCACAGGCGCGGCCTTCCCCCCGGCGTCCCACCGTCCGCCGGAGGCGCCACCGACACCGCCCGCCCCTGTGACGCACTTCCGCTTCCGGCGCCCGGGCCCGCGGAAGCTGCCGCGCGGCGGCCCCAGGTTTCTCCTCGCGGCCCTGGACCCGCCCCCGGGGGCGGGACTTCCGGAGGCCCTGGGCGGGGGCGGGCCGGCCCGAGGTGTGCACTGCGCGTGCGCAATCCCGCCCCGCCCCCCACGCCGCTAGCTGTGCTCGGAGCCTGCCGAGGCTGCACCGGGGGTCGCGGTGCGGGGTCCTCTGCCTCGCGGGGCACGGGAGCAGGGACGCGTGCTTGCGCCTAATTGTTGCTGCAATTATACGTCATATATGACAATACAAGTTAATTCTAGATTTTGTGTTTAGTATCTAATTATTTATTAATTTTTAAATTATTTTTGTGTTTGTGTATATTGATTAATTGTACAATCGTATATAAATACATAACATAAACATAACCTTATGGCACTTTTATATTTATTTTTTAAATTTTTATATTTTTACAGAATATTTGTTTACTTTTGATAACATATGACAATAATATATAAATGATATATTCGCTATTTATATGTACTTTATATACCGTAGTACTTTTAAGTAAATGTGTAATAATATGTAAATTTTAAATATAAATGTATAATAATATATTTCAAATATTATGTATAGTACGTTTTATATATTCTTATATAATCTTATAAATTATAAATATTTTAGACGTAATATACTTTATATAATTGTGTAACATAGTTACAAATTAACAAACTGTAATTTGTGAAGCTCCCACACTAAGCCAGATGCTGCACAGGGCATGGGCATCGGATGCCGCAAATATGTGACAAGTCCCCAAACTGAAAATCCAGTGTGGGAGAACAAGACACAGCCCCCCGGGTTGTTCATCATGGGCTGCCAGAGGATTACCTTCAGAGGGGGAGAGGGTGGGTGAGGGGACCCCGATGTCAGGTGGAGTTGTAGAAGGAAAGGGGCTCCTGGGTATGTTCTGGGTGTCTGCTCTGTGTCACTCACGTTGTCCCGTTGATTTGCTGTCAGTGAAGGCATATATGATCATGACGGCCACCTGACAAGAGGGAAACGGAGCCTCCAGGGTCCCCGCGTTAGGGGGACCCCTCTTTGAACCCAGGAAGCCTTCTGGGTGGGGTACGCATCTTTGCCACCTTCGTTTAATTTCTCCTTTTTGGGGACCCAGAGGTGTTTGGTGTTCTCTTTAAAACCATTCTCCCAGAGGCTGCTTGCCTGTGGATGGCATGTTTCCCCTGGGAACTGTTAAATCTGGAAACTGCTTCTCCACTCTGCTCTCCTGAACGTTTGCAAAGCAAATCAAGAAATGAGATATTCACTTCTTTGGAACCAGCAAGCCTAAGAGACAACTATAAGAATTTGTGAAATGTTCGA